TGCACACCTGTAGTGCCAGCTACTCAGGGGGCTGAGGCACGAGAATCGCCTGAACCCAGGAGGCAGAGGTTGCAATGAGCCAAGATCGTGCCACTACACTCTAGCCTGGGTAACGAAGCGAGACCCTCCTCAAAAAACAAAATAAATAAAAAGAAGAAAATATGTATTCTTTTGCAGATTTTGTCAAGTAATGTTAGTCATATGCTAGAGCTTGATGTTAATGAACAAATTGGAGAAATGATTTGGACATCTGGGAAGTCCATACCTCGACTTAACAATCCATTTATCTCATGTGGTTAGCAAATCAAATAATGTGTGAATTAAACAAATAAATGATACATACAGTTTTACATATCTGATCTTTAAGAAAACTCATGGGAAATATTTTAAAGCTAAATATAACATTTGCATACTTTCTCTCAGTCAATACAAAGATCCATGTATCTCCAGCCCCAAGCCAAGGACCTGGAGTAGAGTGAGTGTCTGGGATTCTGACAGGATGCAAAACTCAGCATACTTAAAATCCTTCCTGGTGCAGAACTGTCTTCAAGTCTTATTGAGTGTAGTGTGCTCTCCTGTAACAATGATGCCTCTAATGGGTTCTGAATTGTGTAAGGAAGCTTCTGGAAACATGAAATTCCTCTCTAAACCTGGGCTTTCCTTGTTATTTCTAATGATTCTATCTATTATCTATCTGTCACTTCTTGTTGAGGTCATTGTAACAGCATCTAGCAGCATCTGCCCACCACCCATCCATCTACCCTGCCTAGTAAAAACAAAAATACTCTGTTTCTGAGAGATAATCTGACGTCTTAGGAAGACATATAATTTTCCCCACTTTCCGAAATATGTAGTTTTAGGGAGGTTGTGTCATTCTTTTCACTAAGTATTAAAATTTGTGACTCTGTGGCATCTATTTCCTGTGCTACTCAGATGTTTTTCTGTTTCTCTGCAGACTGTAGCTTGTTCTGATGGTTATGAGTAGCAGTAATTGACCTCTAAATAACTCAGCTGTTATATTTTAAGAAGAAGCAATGTGTTGTGGTGGGAAAACAGTAAATTGAAAGTCAAAACACTTATTCTTTGGCTTCAGCTTTCTCTTAGCTTGGACCCCTTCGCTGTTCCATCCTCCTTGCTATATGATTGAGGTGCTAAATTAAAGAGATGAACTTCATGTAGGAAGCACTTCATGTGTTATGAATTGTTCTAACATCGTTTGCTAGTATGATGGCTTAAAAACTGTCTACTTTCTCCCAGCACTTTGGGAGACTGAGGCAGGTGGATCATTTGATGTCAGAAGTTCAAGACCAGCCTGGCCAACATGGTGAAACCCTGTTGTATTTTCAAACAATACAAAAGTTCGCCAGGTGGTAGTGGTGCGCGCCTTAACTGCAGCTACTCAGGAGGCTGAGGCAGGAGAATCGCTTGAGCCTGAGAGGCAGAGGTTGAGGTGAGGCAAGATTGCGCCACTGCACTCCAGGACAACAGAGTAAGATCCTGTCTCAAAAAAAAAAAAAAAAAAAAAGGAAAAGAAAAAAACTGTCTACTTTCAAGAGGGACATTAACCTTATGTCTAGGAAAGGATCTTAACTTTCTAATATGATGCAATGATTCTAGGAAATAGCATAACTTGATTAAAATGGAAACCTCTGCAAGGAATGTTAAGCAAGAACAGGATTTGATGGATACTATTTTTTTACTTCCAGTCTTCTCAAGGTTTGATAAGATTGATGGGGTGTGGGGGCATTGAGAAATACAGAAACAAACAAAAAAAATCTCTAAAGAACTGGCTTTATTGTGGAAAATGCTTACAGAGAATATTATTTTCTTTTCCTACTGTCCATTTGTATTGATTTACTCAATGCCAGTTAAGATTTGTGATCAGGTGTCTTCCATCTTCACTGAGATCAAAATTTAAAAGAACAGTACTAAAGCATAAAAGAATATTCTTAGATGTTAGAAAACAAATCCTTCAGTGAAAGACTAAGAAGAGTTACTAATTGTGAAAGGTTTTCCTTTATAATGCCACAAAAAATAGGACAGTTTAAAAGTATGCCTTTTATGGAAAGAAGAAAGAATTGCATTTGATGATTCTCTAAGATCCTGCAGAAATTTTGTGTTGAAAAAAATTCATAATATAGGCATGCGTAATTAAAATAAGAAAATATGTAAACAAAGAAAAATACTTTTCTACTCATGCCCTTCTTTAATAAGTTGCTTCGTAATACAGATTGCATTTGTTAATCATTGGTATTTCTTTTGAAGATTCACTTTAGTCAACCAAATTGGAAGTTTTGATTACTTGTGATGAATCTCTTATAGCCCTTCTTGATTATTTTTCTAAATTTGATGACAAACACTGCAACATGTCTCAGCCAATTAGGCTTGTCAACTTCCACTGTGGTCCCCAATCAAATGTTTTACTTTGGAAATGACAGGAGATCCTTATTAAAAATCATGCTTCTTGGATAGAGATGTGGCAGCTTGCATGCATATGATGGCAGAGAAGACAAGCTGCCTTTCGTTAAAAGCAGTAGAGGAAATCAATTTTGGCAGAAAATACTCCGGACTATGAAGTAAAGACTGAAGGAAAGAACTGAAGAGCATCTCACCTATAACTGATTGGAGATTCAGTCAATCTATTTAATAAATGAGTATAATCTCTTATGAGCTGTAGGTAGTTTAGGTACACAAGTTAAAAAGTAAGAAGACTCATTTGAGCAAGAATATAGAATTACAAGCTGTTTATAAATGCATCTCAAACAAGAGGAAAACAAATGCAAGGAATTTCAAACTCAAAACACAAATTAATCCCTGAAAAGCAGCCACCTGTATAAGTCATTGTGTAAGTGAACTGACATATTGTGTGAGACACAAATGTGGAGAGATGATTGGAGATAATTCTGGGTCATTTCTGCAGGGAATGACAATCACATTCATATATATTTTTTTCTATTTCAGAAGGTAATTTCCTGATTATTTTCCCATGCCCTTGCTATTCACTATCATAAGAAAAGAGGAACAATTTGAATTTGTTGAAGCAGTGGGAAAAAGGGGAAATATTTTGAGTAAAAAGCAGACCTGATTTTACACTTTGCATTTCTATCCTTTTTTTTCCCCCTGTTCAAAGCATTTAGGTCAGGTTTAAAAAAAAAAAAAAAGAATCCCAAGATAGGAAATATTCTCAAAGAACTTGCAGTTTATTCATTTAAACCAACTAGATTACCAAAAGTATTAATAAAATTTGCCAATAATTCGATTTTTACAATGCATGTGAAATACTTATTTGAGAAACAGACACTTTAGGGTAAAAAAAAAATGAGTGGGAAAGTACTTTGTTATTTTGATGAAAAAATTAAGAGAATCTGCTCACTTAGAAGTCAAATGGCAGCATGGGCAACTGGAGTAAATAATTAACCTTACATTTTACCTACAGTAAAGAGTCAGATAATTCTAGATTTCCTGTGTAGGACACTAGAATTTCCGTGTGAACGCTTAGTCAAGGGCATAAAAATCCCAGGACACTGTTTCAATAATCGATGGGCCGACAAATGTCAATAGCTCAGTTACCCATCATTGAAGGAAAAAATGACAAACATTAGTGGAGAGCCTTCATTTAGGAGATTTAGCCGAGTAAAATGTCTAAAATATCCTATACAAATGTTAAACTACAGGGGATGGTGTGTGGAAGCAAAAGCAGAAAGTGTACATATCTTGGGAATAATTTAAATAACTTCCTCTTCTATTTTAAATGAATCTATGGATTGTGCATATACACATCTCACTGATTCCACTGGTTACAAATATATTTTCAGAGGTCAAATTTGGCAGTCTTTAAGTCCCAAGCCTTATAATAAAATGATACCATGTGACAATAACTGGAATGCAGTCATATTATGTTCTTTTGTTTGGCAATGAAAAACAATAAAACATTTTAAATAAAACCCTCCAGGTTACTATCTCAGAACCTATTGAAATAGAGCACGTTTTTCTCTCTCCCATTCTCTCTTTCTCAAACAAAGTCTGTAAAAACATTTTTAATACTTAGCAAAGACATAACCATTCTCCAAAGACAGACACATGCTTTCAATTATACATACAGGTAATTATTAACTGTCATCTTTAATCTTGTTTCCTAAGAATTCTTTGGACATGTTTAGCCTTTCAGAAGTAAAAGTCATTTCCCATTCCATTGGATAGTACCATTAATTAGGAGTACATGCTAGTTCATCCAAAGTTTAGTAACTTGCCTATATTCACCCAGTACATTACATTCAGATAATATGGCCCATGCATTTTGATGCGAACACATCAGCACACATTAGGTCATTTGGCATGGTGGGGTGGGGGGTGGTGAGGGGATATGGGCTAGGGTGGGCAGATGCGTGATATTGCTAGTATGCTTATACCTCTAACTACTGGTTCCTTGCTTTTTACTTTTTACCACATAATGTGCTGTCAATTTGGTTCTACTTATGAGTCACCCCATGTCTTAGAATGTATTTTAAATATAAGGTTTTGCATATTTGCATTCTATGAATAATGTATAAGCAGGAAGAAATTCAATTGGCAAAAGCACACCACTTCTGGGATAATTTATAAATCCAGAAAGTTGTCTGTTTGGATTTAATAATTTTTCTTATGGATGTGGAAAATATTAACACCCACACAAATTTACCTGTGTATTTAGAGCTTCTAATTGAGAATATCCTCATGTCCCTGTCCTGTAACAAACACACATATATCTGTTTCATCTACACACTTAAATGTATCATTTTGTCTACTTTCCTATTCTATAATTTGGGATGTCTTTGCAAAACCTTATCTTTCATGCACATGAGATTAAAGACTGTCCTGTGGAATGATGAGCTAGAGGGTGTTGGGAAATGAGAAATAAGATGGTAAGGAATATATTTATATGTTTCCTCCAATTTCATATAGATCAGGGGAGCCTGTTGAGGAGTGTCAAATCCTAATGGCTTATTCTCCTTGGATTTCAGACTCAAGGCCTCTTCCAGATGTAGCCCTGACTGGGAAGTGCACTCGTGAGTGTGATGAGTATGGCCACTCAGACTCCTGCTGGATGCCAGTCCGCACTTCTCCAGAGAGGAAGAAGAGCCAGCCTAAACTCTCCACTTTCATGCCTGTTGATGAACGAGGAAGCCAGGAAAAGTTGGCCAATGGGGAGGCCGCCATCATGGGTGACCGCAACAGAAACCTCCTGAACAAAAAGTTGACCTCATCCTATGAGACCTTCAGTGCAGCTAGTTTCAGCAAAAATGAGGAAGCCAACCCTGAGGATATTCCCCTTACAAAAACAGGGGAATATAAGCCATCTCCTGTCAATACTCTCACTAGAAGAGAAGTTTACCTGTAGGCTATAAAGGAGCAACAGCAAAGTTCTTTACGTGTATGAAAAGGAGAATAAGGGGCAAAAAAACCTTACAAAGCAAAACGTTTAATCACAAAGAGGGGGCTACCAAAGAGACAAAGCTTTGCCTGCCACTTCTGCCTCCAGATCAGGCCTTTAGTGATACTGTTAGCCTGATTCTACTGTACAATGTAGAAACCATCCTTGTTACTTGCATGTCTAACCCCTTCACTGATTCCCAACACTCACTTTCTCTTCCCCACCCCTCTCCAAAAAAAAAAAAAAAAAAAAAAGAAGAAAAGAAAAAAAAAGGGGGGATAGTTGCAAGTTTCTTCCACAGTAACTGTACGAAGCCTGATTAGCAGAACACAACACACTCTCATTATCCCTAAGCTGAAGCATGATTTTAGTCACTTTGATTTTGTTCGAGTGTCATCCGGCTGGTCAAAAATAAGCAGGACAGATAAAATGTATTTCAGACACACCATCAGAATATGGTTTATCACCATCAAAGGCAATCCTCTGAAAGTGATAGAGTCCCTCTAAAGGTACAGTCCTTAGAAAGAGGGACTATATTAAAAAGCATTTTGGGAAGATCAAAGCTTTAATATTCCAACAAAGACTAAGAGCAAAACAATACTCAGTGGGTGATTGCAGTCCTAAATTGGCATATGTTGTTATTTTCAGGTTAAGAGCATCAACTTCAATTCTATACCTTCACCAAATATTCTCAGTATACACGCAGTCATGATTACATGTATCAATTTCACTAATTATGACTTAAAAAATTATATATATATTTTCAGAACAAGACCACGATTATTAACTAACTTGAACAATTGTATCATCCAAAGGCCAAAGATCATATGGCAGATCAGGGAAATCATGAAGTTGATTTGGTCTCGACGTGGAAAATCATTAAGCAACAAAAGCAACTGAACCCATGTACGCACAGAAACAATCAGACACTAGTTCATTTTATAGTGCCCAGTAAAATGTTCCTTCTTTTAAAATGGATTTTATTTGAAAGCTCAGAAAATGAAAACTAATGAGATATATTTTTGGTATTATAATAGGCAATTGGTTGAGGTTCAAGTTTAGTTTCAGGTAATATTATCAGGGAAGATTCCATGTTTTAAAATAGTATTTATGGGTCATGGGTAGGTTAAGAAAGATGCATTGCCATATAGTCTTGTTAGTTAAGTCCACAATGATCATTTTAGAATCCAGGCTATGCTTGCTGCTCTTTTTATCCACATTTTAAATTACAATTGCATTTTTTTTACTTATTCAGTGCACACTTTCATGCACCCCAAGTGCATTAATTTTGACTTGTGTGCAGTATAGAAATATTTTGAGACTAACAACATTGAAACAAGGTGACACCCTAGTTGACTTTACCACTAATGTGATTTGAACATTATTTAATATACGTTTTAAACAAATCTAGACTGAACATGAAAGAAAGGAGTTTTGGGCAATGACATTTTTCACAGGATGTATCTCAAAGGTAAAAGCAGAGTTTTTCCAGTGCAATAAGAAGAAACAGAATATGCAGATTTTGAGCTACTGGCTCCATGGAGGATAACCTAATATGGCTGAATATTGAGCTGGGACATTCAGAGGAAAGTGACAATCCATGGACAGAATAGGGAATCACAGGTGTGAGGAGAACAAACTCTCATCACTGAATGTTTGTAAGCTGGTTAAGGCATAGCCTTGATGGCTCTCTAGCAAACTGTAGAAACAATGTAGCTTTGGATAGTTTCATGCTTTGCAGAATTTCTTAGACTATAAAGTGACACAGCCTGGAATATAGGTTGATAATTCACTATAGGTCCTCAAAATACTTTGAAAACCACTTCTCTGTTTGGTGGGGTACTCTTTGGGGGTCATTTCCTCATGCTCTTTCTTAAATGGAGTTTTCATTTTGATGTTAGTTTATGTATAATAGGTAGGATGCAAAAAGATATGTAATTGAAACAAAAAACATTGGACTAAAATATCAGTAATTGAACATGTTTATGTTTGATTATTATTTACACTATGGAAAGATGCAATTCTAGTACTTTGTTAGGAAACTGCATTAAAGCAGTTCTGCCTTGTATAATCTGTAAGTACCTATTAAGACAAAATACTTCTAAAGATACTTATGAAATGTATACATATTTTTTCTTGCACGTTACAAAGAAAATACTCAATTGCATAACACAGATGTTTGACAAACTTTTTTTTTTAATGCATTTCTTTCTTTCATGAGACATTGAAACCACTGATAGCTCATTTCACTCTATCTTAAACCCTTCTTTTGTCTATAAAACTAATACGGGTCACACCGGACCTTCGGATTAATTGGATCCACATTTCCAATGACGTTTGCACCCCATTCAAGATAGCCATGCCATTGTCATTTAACTCGTGAACCTCTCTTTAGAACTAAAATGGGTGTGAAAGAACAAAATTCAGTGTACTGTAAGTATTCACAGTAATTCTAGTAGAATTAGCTATCATAACATGTTTATTATATAATGAGCTGGCATGACACAGAAATATATTTTGTGTTTGTATGACTTTTATTTTGAATAGGTTAAATCTGGTGCCACTCCATATATAGAGTGCTTTTGAAAAAAATCAATAAAAATAAACAAAAAAAAATAAATAAATGAGTGAATGCAAAATAAGCAACTGTGCCTTTTATACCTGTTGTTACGGTAAAAAAACGGTTGTTGGGTTTGGACAATGAGGGGAAATGGGCTATTCCCAACTTTTTTGATCCTGTATATTTGTCCATGTTTATTTTCTGAAAATAATAAATAATATATTAAAAATTTGCCTTCTGACAAACTCAGATAATGGACCAGTCTTAAATATTGTTATGTCATAAAGCAAAATTAAGGCAGTAATATGGGCTGCTTAAATCTGACTAGAAGATGAAAGCTTTTATTGTAAGTGTAACACAGAGATACTATCAGGAGTGAAATCAGTCCATTTTGCAAGGTAAAATATTGATTTAGAATTTTATTCTTTATTTCTTTTTTGTTGTGTTTCTTTTAGCTACAGTTTCATTTTGGTTGTACAGGATATAAACCATATTTGTTTTCTGTACACAAGATTCTCAAGTGAATTTTGCATGCATTATACATTAGGACACATTTATAAATTAATGAGTAACTATATAAATTTATGTGTATTAAAATGTCTGTAGCTTCAGTCTAAAATCTACTGCTTTTTCTGAATCTCCAGATATCATTTCTGTATGGTTTCTGACTGGCCTGCTGCCTGAGTTTCAGAAAACAAGGGAGGCACTATTTTTATGGGAAGAGGAACTAAGATGGTACTGAGGATGTCTGACTAAAACACTGCCCTAGGAAGCTGTCTTGTAGGAAAACAGAATAAAACACACAGACCAGAAGAAACTGTCAACAATCAAACAGCCATCCAAAAATAGTCATGAGAAATCTAAAGACCTAAATAATCTTAGGTATATGCTATCAATGATAAATAAGAAAATGTGTCCTTAAGCAAAAAAAAAAAAAAAGTGAGGATGATCATGAATATAGTAAAGCTTGTTAGTTGTGACCTAGGTGAAGATACAATGATAACATCTGGAGGAAGGCATCATTTGTTCAGCTACCTAGGGTTTACTTTCAGACTTTTCCTACATTTAAAGCACTTGCATTCAGTGTGGTACGATCTGTTTGTAATGTTAATCATTGCCTATTGTTCTGCTACTTGGATGTTGATAGTGAAGCAGAGAACAATTTATCATCGTTTATTATGAGTCACTATGCACGCAACTATGCTTAACATGGCGAAATGTATTAAACACTCGTCCAACTATTTATGAAATACTTTACATAATTTAATTTGCTTTTGTACAGTTTTATGTAAATAAATTGCTTGTCATTTTTGTCTCTGCAAATTAAAATATAACATGGTCAAATGGTTTCACACTTGTAAGTGTACTTCTCTGTTGACAGGTAATTCAGTTTTGATTGGATGAAAAGTGAATGGATGCATGTACCAGTTTGATTTAAGATGGTTTGATTCCTTATAAATTAAGACACAGCAAGGAAGCTAATGTGGCAGCAATTGTTGATTTAGGGGGGATTAGGCATAACTGTCACATTACTTTGCCTCATAATGAAAAAGAACTCGGATCCTTAAGTTTCATCAAAATAATTCCTGAGACATTTACCTAGCTAGCTTATTATCTTAAAGTGTATGGCAGAAAAAGGAATTTACCATCGTTAATATGAAGATTGATTTATTTTCAGAGGCATCTACAGAAATTTCACATTTAAGACAAAAGTAATCCTAAGTCAAAATGTGTCTTTGTTTAGAAAATACACGTTTTTAATCTAAATTAATAACAAACACAAAAAAGTTATAGACTTTAAAAAATCATGTGAAATATAGAGAAAATAAAGGAAGAAATACAATTTTTACTTCGATTACTTATTTTTTCTTTAAGGGACTTTCTCGACTTTTTACATTTTTTCTATATTTTATTATCTATTTTTAATCATTCCACTTACTATTTGTTATAAAATTACGTCCCTATTATAGTTATCTTCTTTATTTATTAAATTGGCATCTATTTGAGTAAGCGCCTTCTCTTCTTCAATCTCTCAGTCATGGCCTTTTTTCCAACTCAGAGACTTAAAAGAGAAAGAAAATACTTTCAGTATGTTCTAACAGATTGCTTGGAATTTCTGTCCCATCTCACAACAGCAATGCTAAAATCTACCAATGCGAAAAAACATTCTAAAGATCTTTGCCTGTGGCTTCTCTGCGGGGTTTTTTCCCCTTTCTTATGTGAAAATTTAATATATTTTATTTATATTAGATGACGTATACTTTCTTGAATCAAAGATATCTTTGTAAATTGAGTTTGACTGGCAGCCTTTCTTCTCTAAAGAAGGAATTAGGGTGAAGTATGGTGAGAAAATCTACTTCAAGTTGGAACGGGGTGAAGAAATGATACGTCCATTCATTTTGGCTTTCTGCTTTTCTAGTGGTGAGAACTAAACATGAGTACATATTTTGATGGAACAGTACATAAAATGAGATCACTATGAAGTAGACTTTACATTTTCACATAAGAGAGGGGAAAAAACGTGGCTAACAAGATGCACAGCACTGCTTCCAAGGCATAGATTTGCTTATTCTACCATCTCTGATTCTTTGGAAGAATTTCATCTCATAACTTAGAAGCTTGACTTTAGCACAATGACCTATTCACCGCAATACTTTACATTTACTATAAGATTTATCTCAAAAGTTTCATATCTATAATGTAAACTGTAGTTAGATAAGCCATTTATGAAGGTTGATTTTACTTTTATTTATTTTTACTTATTTTTAAATTTATTTTAATTAATTAATTTTTAGATACAGGGCTTCATTCCCTCTCCGGGCTGGGTGCAGTTGTTCAATTGTAATTCACCATCACCTGGAACTTCTGTGCTCAACGGATCCTCCCATCTCAGCCTTTCTGCCAAGTAGCTATGACTACAGATGGGTGCCACCACCCTGCCCAGGTAATTTTGTTTTTGTAGAGGCAGGGTCTTGCTATGTTGCTCAGGCTGGTCTTGAACTCCTTGCCTCGAGTGATCCTCCTGCCTTAGCCTTCTCTATTGTTGAGATTATAGCCACTGTGTCTGGCAGATTTTACTTTTAATAATTCTCAGGTTAATAAAAATTTGAACACAAAGTTCTACCAATATTAACATTTTTCCCTCCACTGGTTTATGTACCAATCCAAACATTTTACATGATTTACCATGGTGACAAGAAGAAAAAAAAAAACTTTTCACATTTACCTGAATAAAATAATGATTTGTTAAAGTGGGAATTTCAGGAGGAGGACACTAATTATGCAGATAGACATCTAATTATCTTCACTTGACATTGCACAGCACACTCTGGCAGTAATTGTAACTTGTATAGTATTTCAGACAGCAAATTGTAAATCTTGAAAACCTCATAGCCAAATTTCGTCCTGCTTGATACCCTTGACCTAGTCTATCAGGCAATGATGATTTGGTGGACCTTGGCTTGATAAAAAGTCAGTCTAGCTTTGGGAACTCAAATGATCATGACCAACAGTCAGCATTATCAAAATTGATCAGATAGTGGTAGAATTCCCAAATTGACTTTAGTTTTCATTCGGCTGATTTCACAGAGAAATGGTCTATTGAGCTTTTGTCTTTTTTATTTTCTTTTTTGTATCTGTAACCTTTTCATGTCCTCATTCCAAAGCCTTTGCCACACCTTGAAAAGCAAACCTCACCTTCCCAGCAGACAAGGGGATGTTAGGTAGCTAACCAAGGTCTAGAGGATTTGCAACCTAATCAGCTTTTTTTATGGAAATTTACAATATCAGCTAACTTGAGCTCTTAGGAAACGGAGTAAATGGGGACTGAACTTATGCTTGTTTATTTTCTCTTATCTTTATCCTTTACTCTAAAACTTGTTTACAAACTACAGGAGGGAAAAGTGATTAGCCAAGATACTATAAAATTTTTAAGCTGCATGGAGTGAAGAATGGATATGAATGTAGAATGTGGAAAGCTATTTATATTTTCCTTTAACTCTAATTTTTTTTTCCTGTTGTGTTTCTCGTTAAATGTAAATTCTCTTCATTCATTGATTTTAATATGTGTGACCCACACAGAAATAATTTTGTTTATTTATTGAACCTCCTGTGGGAAGATGCTTGATAGTTTATAAATGTAAAATTGTCCCCAACACTACCAGATGATACTAAAAGATTTATAGTTTATTCATGATGTTCAGTTTTGTTTTTTCCATTAAGTTATCATGGTTCAAATGACCCATTACCAAAAAGGTCATAAGAAAGATGTATGAGATCAACCGAGTAATTTCAGATATAATCTTAAAGATTAGAGTTTTGAAAGACAAAAGTGTTAATGAGTGTGCTTACTTTAAAAAAAAAAAGTGCATTAAAGAAATCCTTGATAAGAAAGCTAAAAAAATAAAATAAAAACCAGATTTGTTAATTCTGTCAATTTAACTATAAGTGCATTACAATATCCCAGACTTAGTAAAATTGTCATAACTTGATAGGACCATGTCATTTTTTTCTGTGTGCTGTATATGATATTATACAAAATATATTTACTGCAATTTTATGGATTGTTATAAAAATTTGACTGCATATTTAAACCATTTTATAATACATTTATGTAGAGGAAGTGAGAGCAACAGAGTAGAAAGAAAGAAAGTAAGTAGTTGCATAGATTATTTATTTATAGTTTTACCACCTGGCTTTAGAAGGAAAATAATTATATGAATGCTTTTCCAGGCCCTACGGTACAGCTGGGATATGCTAGAACAGCTATTTCTTAAACTGGTGTTTGAGGTTCACTGAGAAGACAGACTTTTAGGGGACAAGGTATTCTATAAGAATTTTTTAGTTTTATTAATATAATGATCAAAGTAATATTTCAGCATATTTTTTCTTTTCCCTTTCTTTTCTTTGTTGTTGTTGTTGTTGTTGTTTTCTTTTTTTTTGAGACAGGGTCTCACTCTGTCACCAGGTTGGAGTGCAGTGGCGCAATCTTGGCTCACTGCAACCTCCACCTCCCAGGTTCAAGCAATTCTCCTGCCTCAGCCTCCCGAGTAGCCAGGACTGCAAGTGTGC